GCCTCCTTGGGGCTTCTCTTTGGTCCTTGCCTCCTTGGGGCTTCTCTTTGGCCCTTGCCTCCTTGGGGCTTCTCTTTGGCCCTTGCCTCCTTGGGGCTTCTCTTTGGCCCTTGCCTCCTTGGGGCTTCTCGGGGTTTGGCTCTCCGTGCGGTTCATATCCGGGGAGCATTCAACGTCCAGGCGGTTGGCCTGTCTCGGTTGATTCCTCTCCATGGTATGGACGGTCGACGACGACTCCTTCTGTGGGCTCTGCTGGACGTATGGACTCCCGAACGTGAACTTCTTCGCATCGGCGTGGTCTCGGCATCGTCCACTCTGTGGCATCCTTCCCTGACTGAGAGGCGATGTTACTTTTGCACCGTTCCGCAAGCTGTCTCGTACTTTGTTTCACCTCCAGCCTGCTCATGCACCGCCTGAGCTGTTCTGGTCCTTGGACAGGGGGCTCTCCTATTTTTACTCTCCTCAGTTTGTGGTGGCAACTTTGGTTCAAGATTGTTTTTCCAAGGCTTTCTTTCTGTTGGCATTGGTCTCTGGGGTTCGGGTCGGGGAGCTGCATGAACGCCTCCGGCGCAGGGGTTTCTGCTTTTTTTGTCCTGGTGGTAGGTTTGTTCGGTTACAGCCTTCTCCTGTTGGTCAGGACCATGCACCATGTTTTGTGTCTGGTTGCGGCTCTCCTCCGTTATCTACGCGCTTTGGCTTAGATGGCTGGGGATGCACTTTGAGTTGATCCAGTTTCCCTCGTTCCCTGTTCCAGGATTCGGATCTCTCAAGTCATCCACAGGGTTAAGTCTAGCCAGTGTGTGGTCTATCCTCGTGCCCATGATGTTAGGAAGTTTGCTGCATTGGCTTCAGTGCTTCAAATACGCTGCTCCCAAATATCAGCCAAACGTGTCTTGGGCTGATATTTGGGAGCGGGGATTTTGGAGGTCAAACATGGTCCTAGCCGCCCGTTATTTGCATAACGTTCCTGCTCCTGGGCGTCAATGTGTTGCTTTGGGTCGCAGGTTGCAGCCGGTTCCTCAATTTTGCATTGAGGAGTTTGTGGCGTCCCCCTCCGAGATGAGTCCCTATTTTCCTATCTTTGGTTATGTAGCTCCAGGGAGCAGTAGGGGCTCCCAATATGCTTTCTAACTTCAGAATTGCATTTAAATACATGGATGGCGATATACTAAAGAAATTGTTCATGACTTTTGTTAGGCCAAAGCTAGAATATGCAGCTGTTGTGTGGTGCCCATATCTTAAACACATCAACAAACTGGAAAAGGTGCAAAGACATGCTACTAAGTGGCTCCCAGAACTGAAGGGCAAGAGCTACGAGGAGAGGTTAGAAGCATTAAATATGCCAAAACTAGAAGACAGAAGAAAAAGAGGTGATATGATCACTACATACAAAATAGTTACAGGAATTGATAAAATCGACAGGGAAGACTTCCTGAGACCTGGAATTTCAAGAACAAGAGGTCATAGATTTAAACTAGCTAAACACAGATGCCGAAGAAATATAAGAAAATTCACCTTCGCAAATAGTGGTAGACGGTTGGAACAAGTTAAGTGAGAAGGTGGTGGAGGCCAAGACCGTCAGTAGTTTCAAAGCGTTATATGACAGAGTGCTGGGAAGACGGGACACCACGAGCGTAGCTCTCATCCTGTAACTACACTTAGGTAATTACACTTAGGTAATTACAGAAAACCAGTGTTGAATGTAATGAAATGCCATTTTCTGGGGGGAGTCCCAGAGGCTCCCTGGCAACCCTCCCTCCCTCCCTTCAATTGGCAGTTTTTCGTGTCGTTTGATGCTTAGCTTCTGATCTGGAGTGCTGGGTAACTGGTGCAGGGAGGGGAGGGCTGCGCGGATGAGCGGTGCAGCAGTGGAGTGTGACAATTGCTTGTTTCCTTGGGATTGGAGGGAGTTCTACCTCTCTTTTTGGTTTTTAGTTTTCTTCTTACCATGTGGGGTTTTTGTTATACCTACCTTTCTGGGTGCCTAACTCTAGTTGATGGCAGATAAGGAAAACCCCTAACCACAAGTTTTTTCCAGGGCTATTGCACCCTGCAATGGCCAATCCCCTCTGAAAGGGCCAGGTTCTGGCTCATTCCTGGTAGGTAAAGCTCCGTAGATTAATGCCATGGTCTAATATATCACACATTACCCCGATAGCTCCAGGGAGCCTCCGGGGCTCGCCCAGAAAATGGAGTTTCATTACATTCAATGCTTTCTTTCTTTTTACATATACATGTTCACGGAAGGAATTTTAACAATTTACAAAAAAGAAACATTTTTGAAACACTTTATTTTTGGGACCTAGCCAGATAGCCCGAATAAATTCAGTGCATCACAGAGGTTAATAAATGTTGAAAATTATTTTAAGAATTGGAAATGGTGATAAATTTCTCTCGATTACAATACCGATTCTGATTACTGACATGTGCTAGGTTCTTCCTATTCTCGGTACAGATTTTGATTAATTGTCCCAGCACTAGTACAGTATTTGATTTATTTGAGGTAAAAAGAGAAATTGAGAATCAAAAGTGAAATGGAATGAAGGTTATATATGGGGCACTAAAAAATACCTTACAACACACCCACAGGGGAAGAGGACCCAAGCACAAAGGAGTACATACTTGCAAGGTACAACTAGGCCATGCAAGAGGCATGGAAAAAAAAACACCCCTCAAGCCCCAAAAGGGGAACTTGCAAGGAAGGAAGCCTCTGGATGGATGCCCTCAGCATACCCAATGTCACCCAGGGGCGAACCAAGAAGAAAATTGCATGCATACCAACTCATACAGGGAGGGAGGGAGGTGGTGTGAAAACCCCACTCCCTGTAACCAAAGACGATCTACAGAAGATGCTAGGAACCACGAAGTGTCAAAGGGGACCAAGGCCCCCAACTCGGACACCCCCAAGCCCCTGAAACTGCAGTGAATGGCTCTGGGACAGAGCTATTGTCCATGCCTACTGTCCGAGAAAGACCGCGCAGTCCAAGGAAGAGGCCTCGAAGGAAGAGGCCAGCTGGTAAGAAGGCCCAGAAGTCTCGGCAGGACTGAGGGCTCGGCTTCCTCCATGTGTGAATCAGAAGGGGCAACTCCTGAAGCCACCCATGCAAAACCCCGTCCCAAAACCAAAACACCCAAGCATCTTGGGGCTAGAAACATGGAGGAGAACTGGAGGGAGAGGAAGCTGCACTAGACACGGAGGGAAGAAGTGTTGCTGGAGGCAAGGATGAGGAGACCAACACAGTCCAGAACCCAAAAAACCAACTGTGGCAGCTCCAGGGCTTCCAAACGAGCACACAACCTAGATTGCTGCAACACAGGACCCAAGAAAAGTGATCACTGTCTGATAAGCCCAAGCATCAATAAGATGTCAAATAAGGAGATGAAAATAATGGAAACACACCCCCACATAACTTGGAGTCAATGGTATTAGACTCGACAGGCAGCATGGCGAAGGCAGGCAGATGAACGTTGCCTTGTGGCACAGACAATGAACAACCCTCATCACAAGCAAAGTGAGAGCGGAGTGAAGGGATACCCCACCCCCCACAGACCCCCCCTAAGTCACTTGGGATTCTAAGGGCCTGAAGGGTACAATACAAACAGGACACCCAGGCATTGGGATGCTACATCAGTATTCTCAAAATTTCTATGTAAATTAACCTGACCCAACCTAACCCAGACAGCTGGAAGTTTTCCTAGCCAGCTGAGATGCATCTAGGGACCGCCCAGGGAAGGTAGCCCTGAACACGTGCAGGTCCAAGTGCACTGAACTCCTGGTCCAAGTGCACAAAAGTGCAAGAATCGGCCACTAAAGGGAAGGGGGGGAGAAGAAGAAGAAGAAAAAAAGAGTACTGGGACGAAAGCAACTGTAGTAGAACCAGCACACATCAAAGGAGAACAGAGGGTGGAGTAAACTGTGAGCCGTGACCTGCCCCCTCCTATCCCCAAACAAGGTGGAGTGTTAGGCGAACGAGCAGGTGCTGATTTATAATATTTTCGATCATTTGTTCATGTTTGGGAAGTTCTATGGCTGTTTTCGAGCCTGCAGGTCTTGGAGGCAGCTAGCTGGGGATTCTTTTGGCTGACTGACTTTTCTGGGTGCCTTCCTTATTGGTGGCATAAATTAATGACTTGGTGGTCAGTGATGGTCTTGTGGTAGAGTATGTGGCTGGCAATGCCAGGTCACTGGATTGTGCCCACCTCATGGCCATGTGGATTTTTTCTCACAAGTCAAGCCTGGCCTTTGGCTGGGATTGGGGAGTAGAACAACTCCCAGAACCCCATCAAACAGGTAACTTAATATATAAATGCCACAGTTCCCTGCGCCTCTTTGAGGTGACTAATTTCTGGGTCTTCGGTAAGCCAGAGAATTTGAAGACTGGTGGCATCTAGTAGTTGGCACCTACATTGGTGAGGTATCTTCAGGGAGCCACAAGGGGTTCCCTGCAGAAAGTTTATCGAAGCTCCTAAATGACTAAAATGTATATACTGTATACAGTACTGTAACAAGTACCCAGTAATCTCTAAAAAAGTTTTGTGGGACATTGGAAGTGTTACATAACAAAAAATATTTCTCTGAACTGTAAAGTCAGCTGTAAAAAAAAAGAGGCAAAAGACCTATGCTGTAGTGATTCTAGAGATTTTAAAAAGGTGTTGTTGCTACCTTTCATGTTACAACTTTTGTAGTTGGCTATTTCATCTGTAAACAGTTAAAATATAACACATTAATATTGAAGTTTGTTAGTAATTAATGTTTAAAAAAAAAAAAAAAAAAAAAAAAAAATTGACCTTAAATTCTTAATTCATGAATGTGTTCATATTTTTTTTTTTTTTTTAATCTTGGTATTACTTGTAATTGAGTAAAGGTGGATTGAATAATATTTATAAATATATATATGCAGGGTTTTGATTTGTCAGAAACCCAAATATATATATAAAATTCGGACATAATATTGATAAAAGTAAGCATGAAAACGAGTGCCTTTTTACACTTTTTTCAGATGACAATGGAAGCGATGGGACCTTGGTGAGTCTCCCATCACCATGTGGGAGCGAGTGTTCCACTAACACACTTGTATCATGCATGTCTTCCCTTCCTACTGATCCACAGTCTCCCCAAACATCGTCCCACATTCTTTCTAATCTACCATGTGCACCCACAAGTACCCCAGTATGTGGTGTGAGTTCTGCCAGTGGAAATGTCGATGGATCAACGTACACAGTGTCGAGACATGTTTTTGGATCAGGTTGGGAAATTTTAGAAGAAAAAGATGCATATAGAATTGTACGAAGTGGTGCACTAGTTGAATCTACACCATCTGTTTCTGGAACACAAGCAAGTTCTCTTGAACAAACTTTGTCAAGTACTCAAAATGAACTGGTGAATGCTGTCTCTGGGAAGCTGACAGGAACTGCTTCCATAACTGTGTCCTCAGGAATAAGAAATATATCTTCAACAGAAGTTAACACGCTTTGCTCTCGCAACAGCCAGTCTCGAGGCTCTCGTGACCCTTCATTCATGGCAGTGGAGACCCCACTGGTCAAGACATCTGATTTAAGCGATCATAGTGAGGGCAGTGATGATACAGTTACCAGCAACTCTCGTCGATGCTCTGAATTAGAAGAAAAGTAAGTACAGTATTTCTAAATAATTTTGTCTTATCCTTTTTACCATTACTGTATTGCATTTATTAATATATGAAGTATGACTTTGGAAATAGTAATTTTTGTTAATGTTTAATTTGTTATGCTTCTCAGTGCATATGAGTAGACCATTTTAAATTGTTCATATGTTACAATATAAAAGGACATGAACCATGCTGTATATATATGCAGTAGTGACTGTGTTTACATTAGGTTTTCATGTTATTTGTAGACTGAGTAATTTCCCATCCCTTTGCTTGAATACACTGTATGTGTTTTAAATATAATTCTGCATAATGCAGTATGACTAGGTGTTTGACACTGTCACCCGCAAGTATTGGTTGGATTGCTAAAGCAATAAATGATGTTTGCATGGCTGGACTGCATGAGGGGTTAAGATACAACTTTGCTGTTAGCCATACTGATATGCCTGTATGATGCTAAAGCTAACATTTCGACTGCTGTCTTCCCATTTCATTGACATAGATTTGCTAGTTTAAAGCCTTGACATGACAGACTGTATAGCTCTGTTGAAACTTGATTAATATTTCATATAATTAAACAGCATGAAGATTGTGATCAGTTTTAAATTGAAGATCACAACAGCAAAGATGGGTATTTAAATTAAAAAACAAAAATTACATAGAATGTTTTATCTTGTTTTTGTTGAGCAGATGGTTTTCCCAAGTTATCAGGGCACCAAACTGAAAGGTCTAATATTAAATGAATCTCAGCCATATAAGTGTTATTGAGGTACAGTATATGGTTCTTTCTAAGATGGTAAATCTTTTCTCAATCTTGGAAACTGATACATACCTAAAATCTTTAGAATTTATGCTGAACTAAACGCTGATTAATGTGTTAATTACAGCAGATACTTAGAAAATGTTTTATTGAAATAAAGAAATTTGACATTAGTTAAATGACCTTGTTTGTAAATACTGTAGTTACAAGCTTGGAGTTGAAATTTGTATTTGACACGTATATTTTATTTTTAGGCCAGTTTCCTTACCTTTAATACATGTAACCCTTGCTCTGTGCAGCACAGTATTGTACAGTGCAGTACAATAATGTAATACAGGTATATTATTGTATAATAATGTAATACAGTACATTATTGTACAACAGTTTTGTTCTTAAGAGGTTTGATGGTATGCAAGTAATCATTGTTACACTAAGTTCTGAAGTGTTGGTGAATTATGTCTTTATGAATGTTTAGTCTACTTGTGAGCAGCTCAAGATGGCTATTTCTTGGGGCCCCTGCAGTCACTGTTTGAACCTTGAAATTCCTGACATGCTGACAAGTTCTACTCACTTCTGAAGTTCATTTTCATATTATACCATCTACCAAATGTCCTAAAATTCATGCACAAGAAATGAAGAAATGCACATCGACCACCAAATAGTCAAGCGAGGCATGTTGCATGTTACACAAGGTCAGGAAAGGTATTCTTTGTTTTCACATAGATAAACTTAGTTTTTCTTCTATTTGTATATACAGTAATATTTATGTATGTATGTATATGTAGGTTTTTTAAATACATTACTGGATAGGTCCAGAGTTTAAATATTGAAACTGAAGATATGAAGCTGAAGATTAGCCACTGTCCAATGGTTTTTTGTAATTAAAATAGAAAAGGCAATTAAAAATAATTTGTATTGTTATTTGCAAGTAGCAAACAATTATTTTATTTTTTATTTTAAATGCATTACAGTACTATATTTAGATTTTTATCTTTACCATTATGAATTGAAGCCGTCAAAGCACTGAAGTTAATCATTTGTGTAGTCCGCCGAATCGGTTATGAATGCCATCATTATCTATTAAAGTACACTTTTCATATGGTCCTGAAATTTTATTTGTACATTACATGCATTAATTTTTAGTCGATAATGGTGACTTTGGGTTGTCTGGAAGTTGACTGCAAAAGAGTGTGCCTTTTAGGATTACATTGATGCCTTCGGTTTACATAGTTTACTTGTAGAATTAAGGGCTGCCTGTTTACGATACATAAAAATTAAATAAAAGTGTAGTATTAAGTTGTGGTGATTCCAAAGGAAACGAATAGTACAAATGGGCTTATTGTATTGTTGCAGACAATATATCAAATATTTGAATATACTGTATATAATTTTACATAAAACCTGCAATGTATATAAGTTACTAGTTATTGTATGGATGATATATTTTAAATTTTTAATATGCATAACAAGAATATAAGGTACAATACATTTATAATAAAGTTTTATAGAATTTTTACCAGTTCTAGTGTTAGGTCGCATATCTACAGTTTTGTGTTCTGCATCGGTTAGTTCATGATTGTATTTGTTTGGCATAGTATGATATAAAATTAAGAATATAATGTCTTAAAAATTAAGCTAATAGGCAGGTATTCATGGCTGCATTAACCCTTAACCACTGCACTGCACACTTTGTTTTCAGCAAAAACTTCTTAATGCAATTGTCAAAGACATATTTTTGTTTTTATAAATGTTTAGATAAAGTTAATGTCAAAATGTTTCCATACTCGACTATTTCCATTTAAAATCACAAAGAGCAATGTAAACATTAAAAAACATTAAAATATAGCCTAATTAAAAAAAAGACAACTGAGAGTGCCTAAAGGTGCTTTGCGCAGTGCAGTGGTTAAAGTGTTGTCATCTTCATATGTTGATTATCTAGTGTAATGTTGTCATATGATGATTAATGTGGATTTTGTCAGTGTTTAAATAATGATGCTGCCTATGGGGTTCCAATACCTTAGTGACGTCTTCCAGCATTCATAGAAGACAAAAAAATAATTTGAAGTCAAACTTCAGCTCCTGGTCTCCCATCATATGATTGTATCACTCGCAAAGATCAACACAAGTCTTCACTGTATAAATTTACTTTTGAATGCGTATTATTTTGGCATACAGGTTCCTTACCTTGAAATATTTCACAAAAGAGAATAAAAATACAATTATGTCTTGGCAACATTCATAACATAATGCTGATGAATGTCATAAGGCATGTTTACCATTGCCCAGGTGAAAATAAGAGTAGATATGATTTTGTGTGGGGAGCCCCATCTGCTCCCTGAAGCTGTTCCACCGATATAGTGCTATCCTATTTGGGGTCATCAGTCGCAGAGGTCTTGTTGCCTACCAGGGACCAGGGACCTGAAGAGACCATAACATGGTCTCCTCAGAGAAGTGCAGGGAGCAATGGCCTATGAGCTCTTTACTTTTAAAGTGTCATACTTGCCATCGACCAGAGAAGGCACCCAGAAAGATGGGCGAAACAAAACGGACCACTGTCTGGTTGAAAATTGTAAACTGTCCTCAAAATAGTTTATGGTTGGGCAGCCGACAGGCTCCCGACTGTGTTGAAAATTTTCCAAAATGGGCAAAAATTAACATCAAACAAAAGTGTCAACTGAAATCATGTCTATGACTCTAAGCAATCACAATAGCATATAATAAAGTATTTTAATATTTAGTTTTATGCAAAAAAAAAAAAAAAAAAAAAAATTTTCATTTTTATCAGCCGATTTGCATGAATCTTGCACACCTTACAGAACATAAGAATATCTATAAGGATGCAAATTTTGGAAGAAATTGGTTGAAGTCAACTTCAACCACAGGAGGCAGAATCTTTGATATTATTTATTGTCAATTAACATAAAATTATTTCACAGCTTTAATTTTTTTTTTTTTTCCCCCCTCTCCAAATTAAATGAAATTTACATCTTGTGTAGAGTTTACATCTCTATAGACTATATTAAGCACTTTTTTCTAGGTTCATTTATTGATTTTATACTTAATTTTCAAACATGAAATATTAGCATATATTTTTGGGGAATTTTGACTATTTGTATTAGTAAAACTAATCATATTTTGGATTATCCTTTCAATACAAATCCTTTATTATATGCTAATGTATTAGATGAGTGTCATAGAAATGATTTAATTTGAAACTTGTGGTTTGTGAAATTTATTGAAAATGTGTAAAATTCATTGAAAAAAAAAATAAACTCCCTTTCTATTTAGGGTGCAGTATTGAAACATAGAACAGTTGCAGTCCTTATATACAACTAGTAAAAAAAAGTTTGGTTGACATTAAACATTTAAAAATCGTGTAATATGGCACCTTAAAAAAGTCTAAAATCAATTTCCGAAAATATTGGGATGAAAGTTTCATCACGCTGAAGCCAGTAAGTTGGAGATTTGTTTAAAATTTTTAAGTAATTTTCACAAAAATCAAATATTTTTTGTTTCCTGGCCCCATAACTTGTCTGTTGGCTTCGGTAAGATTGTCTTATGTGTTTAACAACTTCTGTGCTGTTAATTCTCGGTTGAAAACTTGTTTGGTTTTCAGCTCTGCACTGTGTTAGATAATGTTCCAGTGGTTGGTCAGGCATTTCTCCACAGTGCTGATTTTCTGAAAACTGTGAGCCTATTTCCCATGCACATGTGTATCCAAACCTGATGCAATGCAAGTCTCCTTCTGTTTTTCTGTTGTTCTCTCATCAATTTAAGCAATTTGTAGTTGATTGAATTCCTGTTCCTACCCTCGGATCTTAATGTTGCAGCTGCTGTGCTATGGTTGCTGTGCATCTTGTGCATTGCTCTCTCTAATTATTTTCTTAATCTGTGCTAGACTTTGAGGTATGTAAAAATGTCTACATTCTTCCTCTTTGCTTCAAGTTTTGCAGCTTCATCTGCAATGTCATTCCTAGTACAGTATTCCTACATGACTTGGCACCCAGTTGCTAAGTAGAGAGCAGAGTAACATTCTGCCATATCACAACCCATCCTCAAACCAAGTCCATTCCATCCAGCGGTCGACACCAAAGATGCAGTCTTAAATTTTAACAGGCTGTTCATTCAAAACAGGAATTTTCTCAAATATAAATTAATATATGTTAGCATATTGTGCATATTTAGGCATTTAGGTTCTGTTGGCGATTATTTGTAGTACGTGGGTAAAGCATTTACAGCATTGTGGTTCGAATAAAAGTTCGAAGCCCTTGTTCCAGAAGTGTTCGGACATCAGTTGCTAGTCGTATGTAAACCATTTTTCATTCTTGAATGGGGGTTTAGCGAGTGCTTGGAATGGACTTTAGCCTTTGTTTTTGAAGACGAGCTGCATATTATGGAGAAAAGCGTCCAGAAAGTCAATAAAGCTTTGCATACAACTGCTGGGTTCACAAGACTTGAAGCCTTGAAACGGCAAAGTAACTCGGTCGGCTAATGTGTTGCGTTTCTGCAGTGGTCGCCCGTATTGACATTGGAGAGCACTGATTTTTGGGCTGACTTTCGGGTACAGGGTTATTTTGGCGGTCGTGCTGGGTCCTGGCTGCGCACTCTCTCGTGTATGTTCCTGAGCCTAGTTGGGCCTGTGTCGCCTTGGGTCGGCTGTTGCAGCCAGTTGTCTCGACTTCGTGTTGTGGCGTGAGCCCCGACCACCTCCCGGTTGCGTCCCTCTGTTTTCATCTTTGGTGAAGTAGCTCCGGGGAGCTGTAGAGGCTCCCCCCAGAAACCCAACGTTGAATGTAATGAAACGTCATTTTCTGGGTGAGTCCCGGAGGCTCCCCGGCAACCCTCCCTCCTTCTGGTCAGCAATTTTTTTTTTTTTTTTTTTATAAATATCCAGTCTCAGAACTGAAGTGTGGATCGCCGGCCCGAGGGGTCTGGGTCTCCTCCTCCCATGGAGAGAGGGGGGGGGGGCAGTTATGCAGACATGCTGCGCGGCTTGTGTGATGTCGTGCTTGTTGCTCGTTTTTCTTTTGGGGAGTTCTGTCCACTCGTTTGGCAATTTTCGTTGTTTTAACCACAGTAGGGATTTTTGTGGCTCTTACCTTTCTGGGTGCCTGTCCCGGTCATTGGCAGATATAGAATGCTCCAAATCACATGTGCATTTCTATGGGCCATTGCTCCCCGTGCTTCTGTGAGGGGGGCCAGCTTCTGGCTCGTGGTCCTCGGTAGGCTTAGAACTCCACCCACATCGACTGATGCAAAATAGTTAGGATAGCCATATCAGCTTGGATAGCTCCGGGGAGCCTCCAGGACTCGCCCAAAAAATGGCGTTTCATTACATTCAACGCTGGTTTTTTTTTTGGTTCTGCATCTGTTTTGGTATAATCTTTTTTGAGCCTTCATTGTATATTTCCCAGAATTTGTCATTGATCTCATTTACTTCCTTGCCTAGCAACAAGTTGTGTGTGTTGGTTATATATGTATATGTATGTACATATAAATACACAGTATATATATGATTAGTATGAATAAGTACAAAGTGTGCCTATGTTTATATGCATCTGTACATGTGTATATTTTCAAAGTTGTATATAGTGAACACTATTGACATTGGTTCAATTCCTGGATAGGACAGGCAGTTGAGCATATTCCTATTCACCCAATGCCCCTCTCTGTTCACCTACCATTAAATAAGTACCTGGAAGTTGAATTATTTTGGATTGTATTAAGGTAAAGGTCGGTAATTAGCCAAGGTATAGGTTTCTTGTCCCTGACGACTGAAAACCAAAACCGTAACATATATGGAAAGGCTAAATTAATGCTGAAAAATAATTATGGCTGGGTCATGAAGCTGTCTCAGGATTGTAATGTTGGCACTATCACTTGTTCTGAAATGACGAAGAAAATAGATTATAATTGTTAGGAGTGTTCAAATGTAGTGCCTCATTGACAACAATTTTGATAAGTTAAGCAATGCAGTTAACAATGATGGGGGTTTTTCTACATCCCTGTAAAATTCTAAATTAAATCGTGATTTTACACGAGATACGTTTGCTTGTGTATATTTTTAATGTACTGTACAGCATAAATAACAAATATGAATA